TCCATTGCATAAAAAAAAGAAAGTGCATAGAATGAAATATTTAAAGTTTTGAAAGAAAAAAATCACCCTCTAACTTTCTAACCAAAAAAAAAAGGTCCACTGATAAGATTTCCTAAGTAGACAACTAAGAAAAGATGGAATACAGAAATTACTAATATCAGAAATGAGAAGACAGGGATGTGAACACGAAAAAGAACTTGACACATACAATCCAGCATCCATTTATAAGAAATTAGTAATAGAGAAGAACTCTCTACTTAAGAAAGAATATCTACAGGACACCTGTGGCCAAATGGTGAGAGATTAGATGGGTTTCTCTTAAGATGAAGAACAGGATAAAGACGTTGTCTCTCACTGCTCCTATTCAAGTTTGTATTGGGGCCCTAGCCATGAAAAAATGAAAGAGAAGGTAAGCAGGCTGGGAAGCAAGAAATAACATCATCTTGTTCTGTGTGACAAGATTGTCTATATAAAACATCTGAAAGAATCCACAACAGAGATCACTCCAGGAATTAAAGACATAACATCAGGGTCAAAGGATACACAAGTCAGTTTCCTTAGACACAAACAAATACAGTCAAGTGATATTTGACAAAAGAATAAGGCAATTCAACAGAAAAAAAGTCTTTTAGACCAATACTGCTGGAAATAGTGGATATCTGCACACAAAATGGACACACATACAAAAGGTATGTAGACACAGACCTTAAACCTTTCACAAAAATTAACTCAAAATAGCTCATAGATCTAAATGTAAAATGAAAAAGTAAAAAACTTCTAGAAGATAACATATGAGAAAATGTAGGTGACTTTGTCTTCGGAGAAGAATTTTTAGAAGCCCAAAAAAAAGTGCAAGAAGGAAAAAAATGGTAAATTTCACTTCATTAAAATGAAAAACTGCTGCTCTGTGGAAGTGTTAAGAGAATGAAAAGACAAGTAACAGATGAGAAGAAAAATCTTTGTAAAACATTTATCTGATAAATGACTGGTATTCAATATAGCCAAAGAACACACAGACTCAACAATAAGAAGACAGATTGACCCAATTAAAAATGGGCAAAAGATCTGAACAGAAATTTCCACAATGTATGGCATATGGTGTGGGACCTAAGGAACCTTCTTACGTCAGAATCCTATGGTCGGCTGAAGACTGCCATGTGTAACAACCAGGAAACACAGGAGGAGGGTCACTGAAGCTGCAACACTTGAGGGACACTGTGAAGGCACGCACAGGAGTGCCTGCTGTTTGGCAATTTCAACATAGTCTAGAACTTTCTGTGGCAGGGATGCCCTCAAGGTGGGCTAATTTGCAGGTACAGTATAGAGGGGCTCAAGTTAAGTTTGTATACAAGGAATATATCACCTCCCCAACACCAAAAGCTCAAAAGGGACTGAAGCTAATGCTTCACAGTATCATGGAGGGAGCAACCGTCTGGCTGCCAAAGAATTTTCAGGAAGTTAACACCAAGGTATGAGGGCCCCATGTTATGTGTGGGTCAATGGCCCATCCATGTTTTATGAGCTCCTTTGTTTCACTATTTGTGTTACATGTGGGTGTGAAGGGAATGCCCTCAGAGGAGGATGCCCTGAGTGTGATGTCATACCTGTGCTCCCGGAGCAAGGCAGACACTGTTCAGACCTTGCCTGCAGAGACTGTGGGATGGCAAGGCCACTGAAGGTCCCTGAGGGTAACCAGGAAAGGGTGTATCATTCCCTTCAGAGCTGAAGGCCATCTGCACCTAAGAAGCTACTGAGATAGGCACTGAACAGAACAGACTTAGCCAAACGTGTGACAGCAGGATATGCACCAGTTGCTGGTTGGAAGGAGTCAGTAATTTCCATCAGAGGTGATTGGGAACATGGGCTTATGTGATGCAGCCACAGCCTCAAGGCTGCAGTGTTCACTGTGAAGTGTCATTCATTCTCCCCAGGTTTAAGAATAGACCAAATAAGGATATTAAAAGGAAAAGCACTGAGGATAATCACGGCTTCCCACATGGTTCTCTTGTAATGATTTTCAAGAATTCAAGGCCCTGTTTCATTTACATTGGGTCACATCAACTCATTTAATTGGCAGTGTGTGTAGATAATTTTAGTGAGATCCCATTTTGTCAAGACAACTTGAAAATAATGAGGACTTCATTTATGAATCATGGATCCAGAGCTTCCTTGCTCACTATGGGATATTTTAGGACAATGAGGAATTTAGGTAAGGTGAGAATTCTAGTGGTTAAAATGAGATATACGTATTTGTCCTCTGTATTACATTCAGCAATTTTCCTTTACTTCTTCAATTATAAGATAAGTTGCTTAAAGATATAAAGCTATAAAAGGATCCTCAGGTATACCTGTAAAACTAGTTTGATTAATTACATAAAGTTTGTGAACTAGTGCCTCATAGAACATGTTAATATTAATCTAAACCCTGTGTGGTAGAACAGCAAAAGCTAGGCAGGAAATTTTCACCTTTTCCCTTATGTAAACTATTTTGATATATTTTGCATTTCCGCTTGGATCAAATTGTGATCCCTTATTTCCTGACCTTTGTTCTTGCTCCCTCCCTATTGTCCTTCCCTGTTTTACATTTCTTTCTTCACTGGATAAACTTTCTGGGAGTGGGTTTCCTCTCTACTTTTTTTTTTTTTTTGGTATCGTTAATGTACAATTACTTGAACAACATTATGGTTACTAGACTCCCCCTATTATTCCTCTCTACCTTTTTAAAAATATTTGTTACTGTTTAAAAGATGAAATCTTGGAGTGGTTTCTTAATTAGGAAAGTTAAAATTTTTAATAAAGCAGAAGTCACTGAATGCAGTGACTAAGCATAGGGACATGTGGTATCAATTTCTCTTATTTTAAATAAATGATGCATTGGAATGTTAAAAACATTCCTAATAAACTAACTGAAGAGGATCCTGACCCAAATATCCTGCTCCACTCCTGTGCTCTTACTCCAGCTACTCTCAAATAACCAGATTTGATTACTGCACCATCCTGTTAGTGTTTTTCCTCCAGAGGACCTCAAACCAGCGCCATCCGGGTTAGAGGTCTCCCGCACGACTAGTTGCTTTACAGAATTTAACCAGCCTGGCTTAAATTGAACTACTTACTCCCTGTGCTTGCCACAGTAGAGCCAGGGGTTTTTCTCCCATAACTCAAGAGTCAGGACCCTGTGGCAGCAGAGCAGGGCCAGCCGCAGAGGGGCCTAAGGGACCTGGGGAGCCCTCTGGTATTAGGAGATGGATGGCCTCAGCCTCCCATGGACTGGCTGCCTTTCCCTGTCCTCTTTTCTTTCTCTGAAATACCTGCTGTTTAAATCAATGATTATCTGATGAACACACCACATTCACAGGGTGTAAGCATCCTTGTGCCCTTAGGGCCGGTGGGGTCATCAGCCCACAGGGGGAGGCGTCCCCAGCGCCCAGCGGCCCACAGTGCAGGAGCCTCCAGGCTTTCTTACCAGCCTGTCCAGATCAGAAGCACTGGGGGAAAAGGGAGAGATGAGCCTTAAGTTTTCAGCAGGCAAAGATGAAATATTTGGATCCTAGCCATTCATTATAAGAACAAACACAGGTCAGAAATTTTGCAATGACTTGTTACATAAAGAAACACTAACAGGATGGTGCAGCAATCAAATCTGGTTATTTGAGGGTAGTTGGAGTAGGAACACAGGAGTGAGGCAGGATATTTGGGTCGGGATCTTCTTTAGTTTATTAGGAATGTTTTTAATCTCCCAATGCATTAATATTTAAAATAATGAGAGAAATTGATACCACATGTCCCTATGCTTAATCATTGTATTCAATAACTTTTGCTCTATTAATTATAACTTTCCTAAATAAGAAACCACTCCAAGGTTTGATCTTTTAAACAGAAACAAATAGAAAACTGCAAACTATAAAAACAGAAACCTGATAAATCCCTAACTAAGAGAACAGATGTGTCCCTCCAGTACTAAACATGGAAATTAGAATCAAAGGGCTGCAACCTTCAAATGAGAAAGGAGTCCAAGGAAAGTACAAATATGAGTTGGTTCAGATAAGCATCGGTTACAATTCAGAAGGCGAAAAACCCACATTCAGAAAGTTGAATATATTTCCAAGCCTGGGGTCTAGACTCTCCCGGTTGTGACAGAAGCCCTGGAGTGGGTCAGTCCCTGGGGAAGGAGGGTGGGGACACCGGAGCAGCCACAGGAATGAACTCCGGGTGCTGCACACACCCTCCTCTCCTGCAAGCGTGGACACGCTCCCTCCCCTAGGCTTCCTCTCACCAGTGAGGCAACTCTCAGCCTGACTCAGTTTAGATTCTGACCCAAATCAGCTCCCCAATTCATAAACCCCTCATCCAGGAGAATACATGATTTTCACAGACCTGTCAATGTACACAAATTACAGTGAGTACATGTATAAGATAGATGCAACAATCTAAGACAATGTTTAAAATGTTTAGGCCTAGTGAGACTAAATTTACAACCTCAGAAAGGGTGCAATTTTTCTGTCTACTTTTGTACATTCATCCCCAGCTTTCCAGGGCTCTGCACCTTAAAGCTCCTTCTGTGGGGGGTGTGAGCAGACAGGACACCAGCAGGGAGAGGCTCCCCAGGAAGAACCAACTGGTACTCCCCTTTCTAGGCTTAAGGTGCCCTTGGCTTGGAGACAATGACCTGAAGTGGGCTCTGCTTTCCACAGAAGCTGCTTCAGACCACCATTGAGATTTTAAATACACAAACCCAGTGTTTGAAAATTTCAGCAAAATCACTCAAACCCAGTAAATTTATGTGTAAGGGAGAGAAGAAAATTGAAAATCACTTTTACTAGTTCACCATTAAACCCACAGAAATCTTTCCTTTCAGAAAAAAAGATACCAGTTAAGTATTATTTCCAGGGCAAGTTTGCTTTGTAAATAATTAGTCAGACTTGAACACTTCTTATGTACAGGTCTAAACTCTGTAATTTCATTTGAAATCACCCAAAAGTAAAGGCCAGTCCTCAGAAAATTACTACATATCCTCAGGGGAAGAAAAATTGAAACCGAAATTCTTAACAAATAGGATGTAATACTGGAAATATTTTATTTTTTTGTGGAATTCATCTCTATTACCTCTTCAGGAATATTTTAAACTGCTTTTTCAATGTCTATTAATTAAATTCATTTTACCTCTATTGAAAAACCGAGACTTAAATGAATCAATACATCTTTTCAGGTTGACAAAACCAGACTGGGGCAGTTCTAACGGGACAGATCACCCAGGGAAGTTTCCAAAGAGATACCTCCACCCAAAGGACTTTCCGTAGGATGTCTGTGCCCAGTACAGGTCCTGGGGGCAGAGGTACAAGGATTTCACGCAACGTCGTACAAGGTAGTTATTGTCTGCTTCCCTCTTAGGTAAAATATCCAAGACCATTGGAAAACTGGAAGAAGTCTCAATACTGTTCCTTTTTCAGGAAAGAAAAAAAGGAGAGAGAGAAAAGAAAAGAAAAAATATATATATCCAGACCAATAAATAAATAAATAAATAAATCTTTAAAAAGGAACATTGGGTACCTCGGTGGAAAAAGATGAACAATTAAAATACTGGGTATGTTTGAAATGAATTCCTCATGACAAATAGTTGATAATGAAATTGGGAATTGCAGAGGATAATCTGGCGTTTGGGGATGTGGAACTGTAAATTTAGGGATTTACTCCCAGTCCTAGGAAATGCTAGGCTGTGGGTAACAACATGGTCGTGGGTTTCAGACCCTGCTTCACAATCATTTGTAGAATTCGGGGAAAAAAGTCATTCCCCTGCAGGGGAAAGGAGGGACTGGGGACCCCACAGCACACATCTCCTCCCACGCACGAGCCCCGGACACCAAGTCACCATCGTCGCCAGCGGCCCCTCCCCGTGGTCACCGCACAACCTGGGGAAGACGCGTGTCTGCAGGCGCAGAGCTGCCCAGAGAGGCTCTGGGGCCCAGGCCAGTAACTGGACAGGACTCCCGGGCCCGGCTGCCGGCCCAGTCTCCACGTCGCAGGCCGGAGGGGCCCGAGGTCCGAGCGGCGCCCTCCGAGGACTCGGGTCGGGACCCCGGAGCTGCCAGCGGGGCGGCCGGGTCCGATCAGGCTCCCCCGCCCCGTCTGCGCTCCCTGGGGCGGCTCGCTCACCATTGCTAGGCCTCCTGGATCGCGTCCTTCCTAGATTCCCACGACCACTGCGGGCCACAGCACGACAGAGGCTGCCGCAGGGCAACCAGCGACCTTTAACGACAGGCGACATAAAGAAGCCCAGCGCGATCCGGGCAGAGAGAGGCTCTCGTCTCGGCGGCACGTCGCCCCGCCCACCTGCCCCAGCGCGCCCCTGATTGGAGAGATCGCAATGACAGACCCCCCCCACCCCACCCCGAGCTTGGGTGACAGAAGGGCAGAAGACTGGGATGACCGGTGGCGCCGAGCGGGTGATGGTCTAGCGTGGAGCGGGTCATCTGTCCCCGCCAGTTAAATAAACTTTTCCTGCGATGGGGTTGACTCCTCTGTCCGCAGCGTTTCGGGGAGTGTGGTTGTAGACATATACAGGGAATTCCTGATTCAGTTTTCAGTTGGAGCAAGTCCGGACTGGAGTGTGGCCCAGGCCAGGCCTGACTGAGCAAGAGGTTAGTTTGTCCTCTAGCGGTCAAGGGCTTGGCACAAGGCTGCGAGGCCGCTCATGGAAATGCACCACCCCCGACCCCCGACCCCGGCCCTTTAGAAACGCGGACACTTAAACATGACCTCACCATCTGCAATAAAGGGTCTGGTCGCATTTGGGTCTGTCGCCCTTGGAAGCATTATCTTCCCCTCTCCCTTACCCACCCCCACTGACAGATCCTTGTGAAAGAGAATGCCAGAGTTGCCAGTCTGAACCCCTCAGCAGAAGCTGGGCTCCGGGACTCTCAGTCAGACCACAAGCTGTGGGATGTGTCCATGAAATTCTCAGATGTACATTGTACATAAAAATAAATTTATTTTATATCAGTCTTGCCTGTGTCCCTAGAGAACTTTGAAATAAACCGCTGTAATATCTCAAAGGCAATTGAATTCCTATTTTCACTGATTAAAAAAAACAACAAAACATCATTAAGTAAATTTGGGACGCATCCAGAAATTCTTCCCATCCCCAGCTTTGAGGTTTAATTGACTAACACAATTATATTTAAAGACATAGCATCATGATTTAAGAGTATTTCACTGCATTGTATAATTGAAATTTGCTAAGAGTGGCACTTAAGTGTTTTCACCACACACACCCCAAAAGATAACTGTGAGGTGATATATGTGTTCACCAATCAGGAAAAATCTTGTATGCCTAGGAGAGTGGATTGGAAAATTCGATTGCATTGCATTATTTTATTGTATTGTACTGTACTTATTTATTTATTTGAAGAACTGTATTGAGATGTAATGCACCCAATAAAACATTTTAATAAATTTAGTATATTTGTACATATGTGCAATCATCACCACAGCTTTTGAATATCTTCATCATCTCAAAAGGAAACTCCTCTGCCCTTTAGCTATCGCACCCATGCTTCCCAACTTCCTACTCTAATCCGCAGACCCAAACAACCACTAATATACTTTCTGTCTTTATAAATTTCCCTTTTTGGGTCTTCATATGAGTGGAATTGTATCATATCAGTTCTTGTGATTGATGATTGACTGTAGTCACTTAGCATAATTTTTTCAAAGGATAAACATGTTGTAGCATGTATCGATAATTCATTCATTTTTATGTCTGTATAATATTCCATTGGTTGGATAAAACACACTGTGTTCATCTATTCATTCATTAATGGCCATTTGGGTAGTTTCCACCTTTTAGCTACTAGGAATACCATTGCTATAAAATTCTGTACATATTGTTATTCCAACATGTGCTTTCACTTTTCTTGGGCACATACCTAGGAGTGCAGCTGATGGGTTACATGGTGATTCTAGAGTTAATCTCTGAGAAAATCCCAGACCTTTTTCCAGAGTGGCTACGTCATTTTATATTTGTACCACCCATGTATGTGAGTTCAAATTTTCCATATATCCTCAACAAAACTCATTGTGAGTATCTCACATCCTCATTCTAGCCATCCTCAAGGTTGTGAAGTATTATCTTATTGGGACTTTGATTTGCATATTCCTGATGACTAGTGATATCCACCTTCCTGTCATGTGCTCTTGGTCACTTGCATATCTTCCTTGAAAAAATGTGTATCAAATGCTTAAATAAAATATTTAAATTGATTTGACTTTTTTATAATTAATCAGAAGTATTTGGGTGTTTTTGATAAAATTTCCTTATCAGATACGTGATTGCAAATGTTTCCATGCTGAGGGCTGTGTTTTCATTCTCTTGCCTTACAGTGTTGACTTTTAATTGTGGTAATATGCACATATCATAAAATTTACATTTCTGCCATTTTTAAGTGGATAGTCCACTAGCGTGAAATACACTGACATCGTGAAACCAGTCTCCAGAACTGTTTTCATTTTCCAAAACTGAAACTATCCCATTAGAAAACAACTCCTCATTCTCCCCTTACCAGTCTCGGCAAAAACCATTCTACTGTTTGTCTCTATGAGTATGACTACTCTAGGGACCTTATAAGAGTGGAAACATACAGTGTTTGACCTTTTTTGACAAGCTGATTTCACTTAGATAATGACCTTAAGGTTCATTCATGCTGTAGCACATGTCAGATCAGCTTTCTTTTAAAAGGCTGAATACTTCTCTGGTGTACGTGTATATACCAACTTTTTATCCATTCAACTGCTGATGGACACTTGAGTTAATTCCACCTTTGGCTATGCTAATATGAACAGGAGTGAACAAATATCTATTTGAGTCCTTGCTTTTAATTCAACTTCAATCTCCAGAAGTAAAATTGCTAGATCAGAGGGTAACTCACTCTGTAATTTTTTGCAGAATTGCTTTGTTGTTTTTAATACCTGCAGTGTGATTTTATATTCCTAGCAATAGTGGGCAAAGGTTCAAAGATTGTTTTTACTTTGTTTTTTTTAATTGAAGTATTCATTGAGATACAATCATATTGATTTCAAATACCCAACACAGCGGTTCAACAGTTACCCATATTATTAAATCACTGCAACTAGTGCAGTTACTATCTGTCAACATAGGAAGATGTTACGGAATCATTGGCTAAATTTTCCATGCTGTACTACTATCCCTGTGACCAACTTATAATTGAGAATTTTGTGCTCCTTTACCTCCCTCACCATCCCCAATCACCCACTCAAACCCTTCCCATATGGTAACCACCAGTCACTTTTCAGTGTCTCTGTCTATTGCTATTTTGTTCATTTTATTTTGCTTTGGTTTTATTTTCCACAAATAAGTGAAATCATATGGTATTTGTCTTTCTCCATCTGGCTTATTTCACTTAGCATAATACCCCCTAGGTCTATCCATGTTGTGGTAAATGGCAGATTTTTTTTATGGCTGAATAATATTCCATTTTGTATATACACCACTTCTTCTTTACCCATTCATCTATTGATGAACACTTAGGTTGCTTCCATATCTTGGCTATTGTATCTAATGTGGCACTAAACACAGGGGTGCCTATATCTTTTTGAATCAGAGATTTTGTTTTCTTCAGGTAAATTCCTAGAAGTGGAATTACTGGGTCAAACAGTATTTCCATTTTGAGTTTTCCGAGGAACCTCCATACTGCTTTCCACAGTGGTTGCACTAATTTACATTCTCACCAACAATGTAGGAGGGTTTCCATTTGTCCACATCCTCACCAACACTTGTTATTTCTTGTCTTTTGTATAGTGGCCATTCTAACTGGTGTGAGATCGTATCTCACTGTGGTTTTGATCTGCATTTCTCTGATGATTAGTGATGTGGATCATCTTTTCATGTGCCTGTTGGTCACCTGTATTTCATCTTTGAAGAAATGTCTGTTTGGATCCTCTGCCCATTTTTTAATTGGGTTATTATTATTAATTTTTTTGGTGTTGAGTTGTATGAGTTCTTTATATATTTTTATGTTAACCCTATATTGGATAAATTGTTTACAAATATATTCTCCCATACCGTAGGTTGCCTTTTTGTTCTGCTGATGGTGTCCTTTGCTGTACAGAGAAGCTCTTTAGTTTGATCTAGTCTCACCTGCTCATTTTTTATTTTGTTTCCCTTGCCTGAGCAGATGTGTCCAGGAAAAAATTGCTCGTGCTTATGTTCAAGAGATTTCTGCCTATGCTCTCTTCTAAGAGTTTTATGGTTACATGTCTTATACTCAGGTCTTTGATCCATTTCAAGTTTACTTTTCTGTATGGGGCTAGACAGTAATCCAGTTTCATTTTCTTGCACATAGCTGTCCAGTTTTCCAAATACCAGTTATTGAAGAGAATCTTTTCCCTGTTGTCTATTCATTGCTCCTCTATAATATATTAATGAACCATATGTACATGGGTTTATGTCTGGGTTCTCTGTTCTGTTCCACCAATCTATAGGTCTCTTCTTGCACCAGTACCATACCATTTTGATTAGTGTAGCTTTGTAGCATAGCTTTCAGTCAGGGAGTATAATCCCCCCACTTAGCTGCTTCTCGGTACTGCTTTAGCATGTTTTCCTTTCTTGATAGTGTCATTCAGAGCACAAAATTCATTGATTTGATGAAGTCTGAATTACCCATATTGCCCCTTCCGCCCATTTTTGCTCTTCGTGTCTTACCTGATAACTGCCAAATCTAAGGTCAGGAATTTTTTCCTATGTTTTGGCTAAGTGTGTTGTAGTTTATGCTTATGTTTAAGCTTATCCTTTCTGATAAATTATTGTATGTAGTGTCATGTTAGGACAAAACCTCTTACTTTTGCATATGGCTATCCAGTTGGCCCAGCACCAATTTATGAAACGAATATTCTTGCCCCATTTTTGGTACTTAAAAAAATCAGTTAACCATAGATATATGGGTCTACTTCTAAAATCTCAGTCTATTCCATTGATCTGTATATCTATTATTGTATCAATACCATAGTCTCTTGATTACTGTTCCATATTAGAAAATTTCACATCAAGAAATATTAGTCATACCACTTTGTTTTTTTATTTTAAGATTACTTTGGCTATTCCGGTCCCTTTGCAATTCCATTTAATTTTATGAAACAGTTTGCTTATTTATATAAAGGAATAAACTGGGATCATGATAGATATTGTGTTAAAGGTCTAGATCTTTGGGGGAAGGACCATTTCAATAATGTTAAGCCTTCTGATCCATGAAATTGGGATGTTTTTCCATTTATTGATATTAATTTCTTTCATCCACATCTTGTAGTT